TTTTGTATTTGTTAAAGAGATACATTAAAATAACTTATTGCCTGAGCATATTTTAATCATTTTGCATTTTTAACTCATCAATATATTTAACAATTTTAGGGCATATTTGCATGCCTATTTCTTCTTTTAATAGAATATCGAACTTTCGGGCCCTAATGGTTAAGACCCGAATGACAGGAACGAAAATGTTTAATTTTATGAATTGCCTTTATAGAATTTCACTGTTGACCCCAAGCGTTAAGTACTTTTATAGTGAGTTGAAATTGAAAAACCTTGTGGAAGAATTGTTGAGAATTGCAATCGCGCGCTCCCCTCTTTCGATCACAGCATGCAAAACCAAGCGAGGGGGAGGCAGGAGCCCGATTTGATCGGCGTCAGCCCTTCCCGAGAGGGTCTCAGGGCTCGCCGTGCCCGACACCCGGCCTCCCATCGCCGGGGCTTCCTCCGCCGCCCCCGCCCCCGCTCCCGTCCCGTCAGCCCAGCCAATGATCCGAGAAGCTCGTTGGTGGTTTAAGGGAAACTACCGGAACCCGGAAATGTGGCCCGGAATCCCTCAACAATCCGGCGGAATGGCTGTTGTTGGTCATTCCGGGTCTTTCATCCTCTTCCCTTGTTTCCGCCAGCGCCCGGATCTCTGGCGGCGGCGACGTCGTCCCCTTGCGGGGGAGGGGGGGGCGGGGCCTTGCTTCCGAACAGCATGGAGCCCTCGAGGCCTGGCCGGATTTGGGGGCGGCGGCCCGCGCTCTGTCCTTCTGGGGCGTCACGCCAGAACCACCACACTTTCGCAGATCCATTTTTGGATGCAAAGCATGTTTTTTGTACTCCCATTGTAAGTAATTCTGCGCCATTGAGGGTGCAAACCAGTTGCAAATGATGATACTCAAATTACGATTCTGAGTCCGATTACGATACAAGGTTTTCACGGCAATCACAGGGGGAAGCTTACAAAGCCAAGTATTGTCTCTTAATTTAATTATTGGAGAATCGTTCTAGAAGTGTTTCGTTTTCGGTTTTTGGGTACATAAAAATTGCAATTAATATTATAATTACTTGGCAGTTTTTAATTTTTCTTGTATTACTAATATGTTATATGTGGAATATTCTTTAAATGAATTGGGTTGCTAATAATTTTCACTTCATGCTAGTTTGACTAGCCAGACTTTCTCCTTCGCATTGCGAAACTGGTAACCAAGCATCTGCGTAAGGGCTAGGGTAGATAAGGTTTTAGGGAGCTGTCGCTAGGTGACTTTCGCTGAATCCCTGCATGTCAGCCGCCACGAAACAATTCAATTATAAAAAGCTTTAACTTATCAAAGTTACCATAAGACGTAGCCAAAAATTACCATATGAAACTCAATGTAATGGGTATTAAGTACTAATACACGCGTAACTTACGAATCGAGCGAGGAAGCGAGCTAAATCCAATATGCATACTCGGTATAAAATACCATCATTGCAATCCATTGGTTTTATAATGTACTATTATTGGATGAATTCTTTTTGGGTAATAAAAAGGTGGGATTTATAATACCTTGGAATACCAAAAAACATTTAAAATGTCCTTAGGATGATTTAAATGGCTAATCTATATTGCTAATTTTGGGGAGAGAGAGTATAAAGTTCGACTATGTCGACACAGAGTAAAGCATAGAAACCGTATACTGAGTGCAGCAAGATTGGAGAGAGGTATACCTCCACTAGCCATGAACCTTAGGTTAGGAAAAATGGAAAAGAAAGGGCGAGAGTGAAAACACGTGCATAATCGGAAACATTGTGAAAAATGCAAATATTTTATTTCGTTACCTCGCATTTCTCTTACACCTACCTGGTGTACAACACATTTCTCAGAGTTAATTTTTAATAAAACCCTGCATAACGATCTACCATCGCGGTTCCAAGGGTTACACGCGCTTCACCCTGAATGCACTTTGGCCGTCGACATCGCTGAACAAGAAGTGAGAAACAGGGCGAAATTGAAGAGAAATAGAGGGGCGTTTAAACTTAATGCATAGTATTTGGTCATATAAAATATGATATCTGTTAATGTATATATAATTTAATTTGAAGTAATTAAACCGTCGAGTCTTTACATGTAATGTCATTATAATGTTAAATTTATTAACCAAACTGGTTTTAACAGAAATTAGAAAAATTGGGTGAAATTACAAATAATTTTAAAAAATTACGAACACCCAAAGTTCCACAGTGCGATGACGAAGAAACCTTCAGCACTCGCGGAAGTGCCGGGTTCAGAAGAGCCGAATTTTTGCTGCCTTGTGACCCCCATTGTCCACCCCAGGCGACAGCAGCTGACATTTTCTGTGCAAGCCAGTAAGTAGAGATTTTTTTCGTAAGTAAGCGGTCAAATTTTCTCAACCATTAGCTCTGGGATGGCAAGATGCCTCATCCGCTGCGCAGCAGCAACCCGACGTGTTCCTGAAATATATCAGCGTACTTCTTCATCAATTCTGGCCCTCCCTACGATAGCGTAAATCAGTTCCTCTGATTATGGCGGAGCTCATGGAGTATAAAATGGAATTATGTTCGCGAACATGGGAATACTTATTAGACAATTGGTATGATTTTTTACGATCATGTTGCGGTTGAAAATTGAGTATAATATACATACACTCTAATACTACATCAGGATAAAAAAAATTAGAGATAATTGAGCACTATAGGTCTGGCCTAACTACTTGGGTTTCATTATTCTTGAGGACGGACTAAAAATTAATTTCTTGCTTTGTTATACGGGAGTATTGTTATTGTTGCGTCTCGAGCAGACGTTACTGCACTTATTGGAGAGCCCCATTTTGTATGTTGTTTTTTTTTCAATGGCGTTTTTAGGACTGGAGCGGACCATAATGTTCCTTACTAAATTGGATATTCGGGGCACTTCGTATTTTTTTGGTAATTTTTGTAAATAGTGAAAGAATGTTGTGGGGCTCGCTAAAAACATATTACAGAAGTCCAATAAGTCTGCCGTTCTGCACGTAAGAAGTAACGTAACTCGTTCGCGTAAGTACGCCTGGATCTGAATGCTACATTGCCACCTTCACTAAGTTAGGCATAATGGTTGTTGCGTACTAGCAGCGATTTTGTTGGGCGAGTTGCGTGTGCACGATACGGACTTCCTTGTGTAGATACAAATTAGAATAGTGTTTTCTAAAGGGGTTAATGTAGGATTGATGATTCCTGCAAATACATTTTTTTAAGCTCATTTGGGGTTTATGCCTATGATAAGCTTATAAATTTGTACAAACAAGCAATATTCCTTCGGCTTATGAGCCATCGCTAAAGGGCAAGTATTGTTCATACCTCCATTTTCAATGAAATTTGATATAATATCACAATGGAATATTGAAAATGGAGTTCCAACCCGCTTGTACTTAGAGGGGCTGTAACGCAATATCACTATTTTGATTATTTATGTTATTATTTTCAATCGTACAGAAGTTCTTGTTGGTCTTTCGTCGAGTTAATGACTCAATTCGGTTCAGTAGAAAACTAAGGCCCATTTTCCGCTAAACAAATGACGTGTCCGCTGTGTGACTGGCTCGGTGGCGAGCGTTCCAGCTTCGCCCGTGGGACGATGCCTGAGTCGGATTCCCCGCGCGAGGGCAAAAAAAGAGCTGTAGCTTTTTCATTTAAAAATCGGTAATCAACTTCTGGAAGGCCTGGGGTGTGACGAGGTGGCAGACGAGTTTAGCTGGTATTGTGATGTGCCTCTTAACCCAGCTCCGCCAAAGCGTTGAAATTGACTGTTCTCGGGGCACCGGAAAATGTCGGACAATGGATCCAAAAAATTCCATGCTTACGTACATTTCCTGTCAAGCACAAGATCCTGTCGACGCTTTCTTCGTTTCCTTGAGGGAGGTAACGAGTTAATTCCTGGCAGTGTCGGTACAATAAGAGGCAAAGATCCCATTTTTTCGCTCACACAGATCCGCGTTGATTCCTCTTGTCCATTTTGATGCGCAACCGGCTCCTCAGAGACCCAGTCGCGGGGTCGAAACAATCGCCGGGCGCGACGACCGCGTCGGCGGGCGGCTTGTCGGCCGCGCAAGATGGATGCTCGGTGGCGAACGGGTGGCGTGCGGGGCGGGGCGGGGCGGGGGCGGGGCGGGGCGGGGCGGGGGCGGGGCGGGGGCGCGCCGCACTCACAGCGCGCGCGATAATTGGCGCCGAGGCGCGCTGCTCGTTGCTCTGGTGAGGGATCGGCGGTGCCCCGGCCGCAAGCTTTGCGTGCTCGCCCGTCCGCGGGGCAGGTGGAACGGGGATCTCGCCCTGCGAATGCTGGCTTGAGTTGACTCGACTTTTGGGACGTATCATGGCAGTGAGGGTGGATTAACACATAGGATAGGCGGGAAAAGGGAGGATCTTCACCATGTCAAATTTCATCGGTCGGCATGATTGAAGGATTTCCGAACAGAACCAACACTTGTACTTAGAATCTCGCTCCAGGCTCGAAGCGTCCGAAATCCTCCACTGATAGCACTCGTCACCTTGAATGTCTCCGTCAACGAAGCTTTAATTGCTTCTCTCTCGCCAACTCGCGTGCCTTATCACACTCGTTCATTTCACTCAATCCCGTTTTCTGCCTGTCATTCCAGGCGGACACAGCTTTTCTCGCACTCATGAGCAGCTCATGTTCCGTTACATTCCGCTTTGCGCTTTGGTGTCGTTCCTAATATATTTTAATTCAATTCTCGGCAGTACGGATAATTCGTGCACATTTTTTATCGGAGTGGAAGTCATGCCCTCTCATGCATGAAGCTTTTAATAAATTCCTCGAAGTACAAAATAGAATACACCTATTAAATATGTACATATGTGATTGATTATAATTTATTGGCGATTATCTTTATTACTACTGTTATCTAGGTACGTGGAATTGTTTATTTATGCTGTGTAACCTATTATGAATTTGTTTTGAAAAAAAAATTATAGAGGTTTTTCTTTTTTTCATTTTCGCTATATTATTTATTTTTATCAAGCTAATGTTACAGCCGTTTCATGAAATCCAGGAAGGCTCGAAGAAAGAAGCAACAGCGGCCAAAGGAGTTTGGAGTGCTAATGTTTTTCAAAAACGACGTGCAGCCAGCTGTTATCCAACTAACAGATTCCCGTTGTGTTTGGAGTATCAGTGGTCTTTAGGGGGCGGTTAGTAAACTCTCACGGCGTGGGAGAAATGCCAACAGAAGGCAGGGCCCCCTCGTTAGACGATCGCCCATGAGGATTGAGTAAAAGCCATATATAAGGAGAGCGGGGATGGTATGCGTTTTGCTGGCTTGAGAGTGGTAAGGTGGAGAGGCGGTCAGTCGGCTCCGAAGCGACTCAGCTGCGAGTGAGTTGACAAGGAAAACGCACGTAAAGGACACGGGGCGGGGCCCCGCGGAACAGGGGCGACCGGCAAGCGGCTACGACACAAGGGTGTAAAAGCAAGGGGAGCGGGAGGGGGGGGGGGCGGCGG